GGTGCTGGGGGATCGAACCGCGGTCCCTGTGCTTTGCCAAGCTTGTTCTAAGTAGGTGCTTTAGACCACTGAGCCATCTCTCCAGCCCCGCACGGCAAATTAGGAATTAACCCACACGTGCAGCAGGGAACGAGGGATGGAGGTGCGTTCGAGAGGCTCCAGCAGAAAGGCAGCTTTTCCGAATTGGCAGTAATAAGATTCCCCCCCTCCCCTCTTTTGGCGGAACCGGGCATTGAACTCAGACCCTTGCGCTTATCATAGAAGCGCTTATTCTACTGGGCTATCTCTCCTGTCCCAATAAGATTTTTTTTTAAGGCACTTAAACACCTCACATATGACAACTGTTTAAACTAAAATCGCTACTTTCCACGCGCCCGAGCTGCGCGTCCGCAAAAGCAGTCGATTATGCCGAACTTCCCACCCATTCACAAACTGCGGGCGCCAGGACTTCCTCTTGCCGCCACTATCTCTTCTGCGCATGCGCCTCGCCCAGCGGAAGGAGGAGCTTTCCGTCGGCGCTTTCCGCGCGGCGCCGGAAGTGACCTCAGGGCGCATGCGCCAGGGTTCCGCGCTAATTGGGCAGTTTCTGTTACTGGTTTGAGGAGACCCCCAGGGGTTTGGGGTTCCCGCACGACTGCCTCGCCCTTTTATTTCACCTTCCTTTCTGCTGACCGCCGCTGCCTGTCAGCCGCGGCGCGACCCTCAGGTAGGCCCCGTGCGCGTATCCTCCTTGTGGCGGTCATGGCGCCGGCGGAGGCCAGAGCCCCCGGCGTGGAGCGCCTGGCAGTGAGGCTCAGGGCAGCGAGCGGGCCTGAGCGCTGAGCCTGCGAGCGACGGCTGGAAGACTGGTCAGGGCTGCGGGTTACTTCGGTTCAGTCGTGTCGCTTTCCTGGTGGGGAAACTGAGGCTCGGGAGGGGTTATACCGAGTTGATGTCGACCTTCGTCGCCTCTGCCCGTCCTCAGACATCCGGCTTCTCAGACGCATGTCACCTCCTCGGAGAAGTCATTCCTGGACGGTCTTGTACAGAAAGGCATTTTCCCCGTTAGCAGTTTCCTTCTAGACTTACAGTCAGGAATTAAGTACCCGCCTCTCCTCGCCCGCGATTCCTCGTACACGCGCGAACACTTCCCCGAAGAGCTCCGGCGGGCGGCACCGGGTGCGCTCGGGGGAGTAGTCCAGAGCGGCCGGGCCGCGGGGGCGGGCGGGCGCGCCGGTGGGAAGAAGGGCTTGGGTTTGTTATTTTTTATTTCTTTGCTTCTGTTTGTTTACTTACTTTGTATGTTTTAGGGAAGGGTGACAGGGTGTTCAGGGTCTTACTGCTACGTGGACTCGCAGTGGTCCGCCTGTTTACAGCCTCCCAAGAGCTGGGATTACGGGCGCGGGCCACGAAGCCCAGTCTCTCGCGTCTCAGCGCGCCCGGGGCTGGGGCGGGGCGGGGCCGCAGGGCAGGCCCGGGGGTCAAACCACCGACCCCTGGGCGCCTGCTTGGGCTTCTGAGCTATTTGGCTGGCTGTTTGCTTCTGTTTTTTCTTTTTCTTTTCTTTTCTTTCTTTCTTTTTCTTTTTTTTAAAGACAGGGTCTCGCTATGCAGTTCAGGCTGGCCTGGAGCTCACTTTGTGGCCCAAGCTGGTCTCAAACTCAAACCAATCCTGCCTCAGGCTCCCTAAAGGTGGGATTGCAGGCTCACCTAGCCAAGCTTGTAAACAGAAAACTGTCAGAAGAAAATGGAGCGGGGTGATGGAAGAGTAGACATTAGGGAAGCTTCAGAGTGATTTTTTAAAAATTCAAGCCTGACAGCTCTATTAAAGTATAATTTACACAGCACGAAATCCACCCAGTTAAAGTGCATGTTTTGATGAGTTGGGGAAATTTTATACAGTCGTTTAAATGTCACCGCAGTGCATTATTAGAGCTTTTGTGCTGCCCCAAGAAGTTCGGAGGAGACAACTTTTGAGCTTGGAGCCAAAGATTGAGAGGGGGCTATCTTAAGCTAGAGATGTGTAGAGGTGTGCTGGGGGGTAGTAAGGAGGAAGAGAAGGGGAAGGTGCTTCTGGTCAGTGCCCCACTGACCTTTCTAGGGCCCTGCAACGTTCATCTCTGATGATCAAGGTTGGGGTCGGGGGTGCAGCAGAAATGACCAGAAACCTATTGTGAGCAGGCTTGTAGCCTACAGTTTTATTCCCAGCTACTCAGGAGACTGAGGCAGGCGGATCATCCTGTCTCAAAATGAAATTCAATAAGGGCTGTGGATGCAGCTCAGTTCTACAGCGCTTTGTTAGCTTACACAGGCCTTACATTCAGTCCTCACTACCGCAAAACGTAAAAGAACTGATTGCGCTGTGTGCAAGATGCTTGCCCAGGCCTCATAACTGGAGTCCCTATTCGTGTTTATCTTATTTTAGGTGAGGATCACAGCTCAGGAACGTGTCCAGAGCGGGTGGTGGCTGGTGTCTTGAGTCTTTTGCTTGTTGGGTCATGGAGCCAGAGGGTGATTTGAGGACAAGAGAGGTGGTTGGCAGGGACCTCAGCCTCATGCACAGTAGATTTTTGAAGTGTTAGTGTGCAGGGAGCGCTTGCTCTGACCTATACTGTCTGCACTTTATTTTCCAGGAAGTTGCAGAAACTTAATGTGCACGCCTGTCCCTAGGACCTCACAGCACCTCCATCTTTTTTTTTTTTTATTTTTATTTTTATTTATTTACTGTGTGTGTGTGTGTGTGTGTGTGTGTGTGGCCAGCTCAGCCCACCAAGGGGCGGGGCTGGCTGGCATGTGGTGATGGGGGATTGAACCGCGGTCCCTGTGCTTTGCTAAGCTTGTTCTAAGTAGGTGCTTTAGACCACTGAGCCATCTCACCAGCCCCAGCACCTCCATCTTGTGTTGTCTTTTCCAGTGAACACTGTGTATCACCTGCGATTGGGATCTTTTTGGAGTGACTGAGGTGGACTTCTGGGTGAAGGAGTTGCTAACAGGGACAGAATTCAAAGTGTGACATCAGTGTATGTGAGTCATTAGAAATTGGATGTTCTCCTTGGAAGGAAAAAGAGGAAAGTTGTTTGTTGTGCCCGTTATGTTCTCAGCACAGTGCACGTTCTACATGATTGGATGTGATTTTCAGAGCAGTCTTGAAAAATGTGCTGGATTTGTTTTCAGAGCAGGAAGATGAGGCCTGGTGAGATTAGGGCTCGAACTCTGATGAATGGCAGAGGTCCCTTCAATTCTGGGTGGCCTGGTAAACAGTGATGCCCAAGAAAAAAGCCTAGTGAGATTCTTGCCAAGTAAATGACCACAGCCGAGTGCCAGATCGTTTGGCACTCAAGCAAGCCAAAGCGGATTCCTTCGTTAAAACTTCTCAAGCCAGGCATGGTGGTACACGCCTGGGATCCCAGCACTTGGGAGGCTGAGGCAAGAGGATCACATCATTTGAAGCAGTCTGGGTTACATAGTGCATTCAAGGCCAACCTGAATTACATAGTGAAACCCTGTCTCAAAACAAACAAACAAACAAACAAACCTCCTCAAATGAAATTGTGAATTTCAGGTAGAACTGGTGGGCTTTCTAGGTAACTGCATGCAGAGACCAGAGAACTCTGGTTAAGAACCAAAATAAGAACAGGAACTTCTACATTTTTTTTAAACTATTCAGTGGAGTATTTATATTATTCTTTTTCTAAAAGAGAATAAATATGCCGTTCAGGCCCCACCCTGGGGCTCACTGAGACAGCAATTGAGACTGGGCATGGTGACGCACACCTGTAATCCCAGCTCTTGGGAGGCTCTAAACAGGCAGATTGCTATGAGTCTGATCTAGTAGTGAGACCGTGGACACCCTATAGACCCTGTCCTAAAATACACACAAAAAAGGAGAATAATAAAACCAAAAATGATACAGAGTTTCTCTAAACAAGACGATAGGAATTCAACAGTGATTTTTATGTTGCATATTGTTGTCTTAAAATTAGTTGTTCAGATTGCCAGATATAAACATGCAAAATTGGTCAATGTAAATTTTAAAGAAGAGGAAAAAATGTAGGCATTAATTGCTCCTTTCAGTTGACCAGTAAAAATAAGCAGTACAGTGATCCCAGCTATCCTGTGTATGTGTATGTTTGTATATAATTTTTTCCCCTTTTCTCCTTTCCCTTATTCCAGTTGTTCCCTCCCTTTGAGCAGTTTCTTTTCCTTTCCCGGGGTCTGATGTACCTTTCAGATTTTATTTCCTGTTTCAGGTTCTTCCTGGTGTGTCTCTGGTATATGGCTGAGTGTCTCTCATGCGTAAAGCATGACCAAATTTATTGCCTAGATAGTGACGGTATTAGTAGGGGAACTGGGCATGGAGTGTATGGGAATGCATCAGTCTTTCAGTTTTCTGTAAATGTGAAACTGTTGTGAAATAGAAAGCGGCTTACTATTAATTTCAATCTGAAGAGAGAAGCCTAGAGTAGTTCTGTGCTGTGGCCTAGTATTTCTTCGTTGCCTCTCACTGATGTGTGTTACTTAAGAAAGGAGCTGTCCTTAACATTTCCTACTTCACTTCTAGAGCTAAAATGAGTCTGTTTGGAACAACCTCCGGTTTTGGAACTGGTAGCACCAGCATGTTCGGCAGCACTACCACAGATAATCACAACCCTATGAAGGTACCACATAAAGCTGGGCGGGGTTTGTGGAATGAGTTCAGGCCAGATTTTCCCACACTGACAAGAAGAGAGAAAGATGGCTTGGGAGCTGCCTGTGGGGTAGACCTCTGAAGCTGTCTGGCCATATCTTCTGGAGGTTTGGAGCTCTGGAGTACCTGTCCCCCGGCAGTGTCCCTCTCCTCACTTTCCAGGTCTCCAGAATCACTGAGGGTGCTCCTGAAAGATCCCCCCCAAGGATGGCAGGATCGGGGTTTCAGTGGTAGGGGACAGTGAGGACAGGCAGTGGCTAGGACCAAGCACCAAAGGCAGGAGTGAACTGGCGGGTGGTAAACATGGGTTTGGGCCTTTCTCTTGGGGTCTGCTTCTTGTCCTGATAGTGCTGATTCTTTGCCTGACTTGTTTATTACTCCTCTGTTTGCTCAAAGTAAGGAAAAATCTGATTTGGTTTTTGAGACAAAGTCCATCTGAATATGTTTAAGGAGAAGAAAAGCGGTTTGTCACTGTAATGATGTGCACGGTGTAACACTGGTTTTCCCTCCCCAGGATATCGAGGTCACATCTTCCCCTGATGACAGCATCGGGTGCCTGTCATTCAGCCCACCAACCTTGCCCGGGAACTTTCTTATCGCAGGATCCTGGGCTAATGATGTAAGTGCTTCCCAAGGCATCTTCTGTCAGCCGTGTGTCCTGGTGGGCAGCGTTGCCTTTCCCTTTCCCTCCATTCTGTGCCAGCTGAGGCACATGGCCCTCTTCGAGAAACCAGGTTAGAGACTGTGAGCCCTTCTGAGGAAAGATACTGATGGCGTGTACATATCATGTACACATTACTCAAAAAGATACATGCTAGGCCAGCATCTCGTGGAGTACTCCCAAACCAGATTGGTCTGAAAAGGGATGTTACCCGTATGGTGCACACACATTTCCTTCCTTCTCATCCTGAAAATGTTCTTAAGGTAATTGCTCAGTGTTTTTGGCTTTAGACAATCACACCAATCCTGTGTGATCGGTATAATTTCTCATCATGTACATATAGAAGAATCAGTTGTAGTGTACAAAAGCTGGTAGAAAAATTAGAAAGGGATGTGAAGAGATACTTCATAAAAAGTAAACTGAAACCAGCCACATGCATAATCAGAAAGACACTGATTTTTGTGATACTTTTTTTGTGATACTTTTTTGAATCGAATTATCAAAAGGTTTAAAAGCTTTAACCTTATATGTATTGCTAGTAGGCATGAAAGTCAGCTTTTTTTTGAGAATTGGAACTTTTTTCTATCTGTCTATTTATTTATTTTGTGGAACCGGGGATTGGAACTTTTGTCTGCAGAGTCATTAGCAGTCAGTATCAGACATCCTTAAGTTTAAGTGCCTCGTCTCATTGATTCTCAGACTGCAGAGGAGATGTGCTAAGCTACTTAATATGTTTTATCAGAATTTGTCTTTGCAGTAGTTGAAGAGCTTCCTGCCACTTCCATGTTACCAGGCAGGGTTCTGAGCTGTGGAGAAGTGAAGTGATAGTCCAGGCTGTATCTGCATGGTGAGGCTGGGCTGCAGACTGTCATGCCACCTGGTATCACAGGTGACTTTCTGCTAGTGAAAGTCGCAGTATTTAAGTGCAGTGGTCATTTATGATGTGTTCATATGATGGGATACCACTTTAAACGTTTTCAGAAGAGATTTCCAACTGGCCTGCAGTTGGGAGGCAGGTAAGGGTAGAGGGGAGGGGAGAGGAGAATATGAAGAAAAGAAGTCATGGTTGAGCAACTTGGCTTTCTGTGTAGTTTCTGAAAGAGTTGGTTTGATTTGCTACTAAGTGTTAGGAAAGTGTTTAAAGATGAATAGCATAGTGGTACCAGTGAGAAAAGCTGCGGTTACAAAGTAAAGATGCTGTGTAATCTATTTTTCTCAAGGAAATATGGGTACATTGAGGGAAGATTGAGAGCACAAAGAATGTTAACCATGGGTGTGGTGGAAGTTGAGTGATTTGTTTTGTTTTCTTGTATTCAAGGAATCCCCAACAAATACCATTTGTTACAGATGGGAAAGTGTCTCAGGTCTTGAATAGTAACATAGGGTTTCACCCATTGGTGCTGGGAGGGTGAGACACTGAGAATTGATGCTTTTGTACTGACGTGTCTCTTGCCCACAGGTTCGCTGCTGGGAGGTTCAGGACAACGGGCAGACCATTCCGAAAGCGCAGCAGATGCACACCGGGCCGGTCCTCGATGTCTGCTGGAGTGATGTACGCCTCCCTCTATGTCTGTTGTTCTGTTCTGCTTTTTAGTACTGTGCAATTCTGAATACTTAGTAACCTAAATGCACATGCAGGTTAATTGCCCCATTGCCTGAAATGCTGAAGGCCAGAAGTGTATTATATTTTGAAATTTCCAGATTTGGGACGATTTTGCATAGACTTTCCTGTTTGAGTGTATCTAACTGGTTGAGTGGTGGATAGATAGCACTGAAAAAAATTGGGACATTGCCAGGTATAGTGGCATATGCCTGTAATCCCAGCACTTGGGAGGCTAAGGCAGGAGGATCGCCACAAGTTCAAGGCCAACCTGGACTACATAGTGACTTGAGGGCCAGCCTGAACCATTTAACAGAACCCTATCAAGAAACCAAGAGGAGTGGGCCGGGGAGCTGGCTCAGTGGAATAAGTGCTTGCCTGGCAAGCGCAGGGGCCTGAGTTCAATCCCCAGTTCCGCACATAAAAAAAGAAACCAAGAGGAAAAAAAATAGTTGGAGTGTTTTACTGGCTTTGATTAAGAATATTTGAACTATACAGTATGTATATGTCCACATTGTAGGAATTCTAAATTTCTTTGTAAGAGTGTTGTAGTTATTGATGCCCTTATTGTTAATTTTAGTAAGATAATCTCTGAAAGCATTTTTTGTGTTAAAAAAAAAAATCCATGATTTTATTGACATTTTAAGCAAAGGACTATACAGCCTCTTGAAGCCCCTATCTTTACACTATAAGCTTTGTTGTTTTTATTTGTATTTATAATTTTTGTTTTCAGTTACTGGAGATTAAATCCACGATGTCATCACTGAGCTATATCCCACTTTTTAAATTTTTTGTTTCGATACAGGTCTCACTAAGTAGCCTATACTGCATTCAGACTTGTAGCCATTCTGTCTCAGCCTGCTGCCATGCTGGGATTACAGGTGCACTGCTACACTTGAATGGAGCATTATTGTTGTTGTTGTTATTATTATTATTATTATTATTAGTAGTAGTAGTGTAAGTATCTTTTTGAGGCAGAGTCTCGCTATGCAGTTCAGGCTGGCCTTAAGCTCACTTTGTAGCCTAGGCTGGCCTCGAACTCAGTGATGCTCTTGCCTCAGTCACCCGAGCGCTGGGATTATAGGTGTGTGCTAAAGCTTTGTTTTAAATTAGAAATTTTGCAATCACAAAATCTTAGAGGGGAAAAAAAATATGTTTCTCTTACCATCATACCTTAATACTTGAATGCTTTGAAACTTGTCTCTTAGTACTTGATTTTTTTTTTCCCCCAGAACCAGGGATTGAATTCAGACCCTTGTGCTTGCCGGGCAAGCGCTTATTCTACTAAGCCATCTCCCTGGCCCCTTAGGACTTGATTTTGATGCGAAAGCTTTGTCCTCGTACTTGTCCTTTGTTTGGTACTGGAAGTACAGGCTAGAATGTGTTGGGGTCAGTTGCTACATGACTTGATACTCCTTCCAGCCACAGCGGTTTGTGTGGTACTTACTGCATCTCCTGGAACCAATTAAGTGATAGGCACTATTATATCAGACTTACCAAATGGTTCTTATTTTTATTCTTATTTTCTCCCCATTCCTCAATATCTGAGGTTTTCCTCTTTTTTTTTTATGGTCCCATTTTGTTTTCTTCCCCTGGTTGAAAAGAGTGTGGTGTTAAAGTGATTGTTCACAGAGAGACCGCAGGGCTGAGGGTGGGTGAGGCACCCGGGGGCCCCCTGGAACTGTGGAGAGGCAGCAGCTCACAGCAGAGTCTAGGGAGGCCCAACACCTGGGCTCCCCTCCCACTAGCGCTGTTGCCTCATGGCTGAATCCAGCAGAAGCAGGAGACAGCTGGGCCATGATCTCAGCTTCAAGGCCCCTTTCTGAGGCTTTGTACTTTTCTTTATGTAGCCAAATGTCATTAGGTTATTTTATTAGATTTTGTTTATGAGGTGTTCGTTATGCATGCAGTCAAGTTGAACCTTGTTAGTGTATGATTCTGTCATTTGAGGAACACACAGTCACATTCGAGATGTAAAGCAGATCATCAGCCCGGGTTCCCTCCTGCCCCTTTGTAGTCAAATCCTAACGCCCAGTCCCTGGAAACCACTAATCTGTTTTCTGTCCCTGAGTTTTGCTTTGTAAGACTGTCATAAAGGTGGGGTCCTATATAGGATGGAAGCTTTTGAGACCAGCTTCTTTCACACAGCGGGGTGAATTTTAAATCCCAGTGGTTTGTGTCTGGAGTTTGTCCCTGGGGCTGAGCAGGATTCCGCCATAGGGGCATTGCTGTTTCCCCAGCCCTCTGTTAGTTGAATTGCTGTATTGCAAGGGTTTGTAGTGTTATCCCTGTAAATTCATCAGTGGAGGGAGGAGCAGACATAAACTTCCTTGGGTAGAGAACTGGTAGCTTGAAATGTTTGTGGGTGGAGGTTGAGCTTTTGAGCTCTGAAATCAGAATTAACATAAGTAAGCCAGGGCTTAGTAAACTATGGTCACACAGCAGATGAGGCCCCTGGCCTGCTTTTCTACTAAATAAAGTTTTATTGGAATGGAGCCACACACAGTCACACAACATGTATCAGTGCTGTCACTACAGTGGTGGTGGTACATGTACTTCATGAGTTCTACATAAGAGTTTTTTAAAGCCATTACACAATGATTGCTCTGTGTGTGTGTGTGTGTGTGTGTGTGTGTGTGTGTGTGTGTGTGTATGTGTGGCTGTGGCTGTGGCTGTGGCTGTGGCTGTGGCTGTGGCTGTGGCTGGCTCAGCCTAGCCTGGGGGCAGGGCTGGCTGTGCTTTAGACCACCGAGCAATCTCACCAGCCCAGTGACTGCTTATTTTTAAAGCTGTGTTAGCTTAGATAGGACCAGTGATTGAAGGCTTAAATTTTATCAAAATAAGAAAAACTTAAAAACCAAATATTGCTTTTGAAAAAAAAAGTAGAATCAGGAATGAGAGAGACTTAAATTTCATTATATGATTCAAAGTGATACTCATTTTTTTTTTAGTTCTGCGCATCTCTGAATCAATAAAATATATGCCCAGAATGTTTGTTTATGGCTGTAGTTTGCAACATACTCGCCTCCACCTAATTGGAGTAATAAAAATTACAGAATACGTAGTCCAACTTAACAAGGGATGCATATGTAGAGATTTAGCTTCCTCTGAGTGCTAAATTCTCTCTTACTTTAGGACGGAAGCAAAGTATTTACAGCGTCGTGTGACAAAACTGCCAAAATGTGGGACCTCAACAGTAACCAAGCCATACAGATCGCGCAGGTAACAGCCCTGTGCAGAACCGCAGGGCAGGGTCGGGCTCGAGGTCGTCCTCGGACTGGGATAATTCTCTACCATGACCAAGTGCAGTTTGCCTGTATCAGGTCCCCTGAGTGTGCCAGAACCCCTACAGTACAAGAATAGCACCAGCTTTCTACCCATTCTCATTTTCATAGTATTTCGAAGAGTGTTTGTCCCTTAAATCTGTCTTGCATGTATATGTGGATCATAGCTTGTCCTTGACATACACATTTTGAATCCCAACATCGTGTGTGGCTTGCATTTTCCCGCTTGGCTTTGGTCACTCCTCTCTGAGCGTGTCTTCACTGAGTGCTTGCCATGTGTGCACGCGGCACTGTTGCCAGGGGCTAGAAATACAGAAGTACGGGGGCCTTTCCCCACACCCACGGAGCTTTTATAGTCCACCCAGCGACACCAGGCGCCATTCGTGTGATGAGGAGAGGCCCTGCAGTGGGGGGCTCGACAGACACGTCTCCAGAACGGGCATGAGCTGGAAGATCACAGGCCGTGCGAGCGCATGGGGCGTGGTGTGTGCGATAGCAGCTCCCAGGCCTTAATTCGGGTCTCCTTTGTACATAAATCCCAATTTGGTGCCATTTTTCACTGGTTTTGAGTGTCCCCAGGCAGGAGCTTACTGTCTTGAAAGTAAAACTCAAAGTTAGAGTTTGTTAGAATGAGAGTAGGTGTATATTCTACATTCAATGTTTTGGGTCTTGGGGAAGCACTGAAGTAGCTTTGATTTGTGTTCGCTGTGATGACAGCATTTAAATTCTCAATTTTTAATTCTAGAGCTAAAACTGTAGCGCGCTGTTACATTAATCTGTTTGTTTTTGTCCTGTTGAAAGCATGATGCTCCTGTTAAAACTATACATTGGATCAAAGCTCCAAGCTACAGCTGCGTGATGACCGGCAGCTGGGATAAGACTTTGAAGGTAGAAAATGTGGTGTGCAGCCCGGGCAGGTGGACAGTATTCTTATCTCGTGTAGACTGCAGCTCTGAACGGTCACTTTCTGCTTCTTGTTTTTGCATTCAGTTTTGGGATACTCGGTCATCAAATCCCATGATGGTCTTACAGCTCCCTGAAAGGTGTTACTGTGCTGACGTGGTAAGGAATGTCACTTCCTTTTATTTACTTTTAAAAAATATTTTATTTACTTGGTACAGGGTCTCCCTACACAGCTCTGGACTCATAGTGATCCTCCTGTCTCCACCTCCCCAGCACTGGGATTATAGGTGTGTGCCACCACACCTGGTTTTGGCACACCCAGGGTTCCAGGACAAGATGGCGTATAGTACCAGGGATCAAACCTGGGTCCTTGTGCTTGCCAGGCAGGTGCTTAGACCGCTGAATTATCGCCCCAGCTGTTTCCTTTTAAAATACAGAATAAACATTCATCACGAATGACACTCTACAGGTAGTGGGTAGTCTAAAAACCCCTCAGCAGTATAAGTAGAGTAGATGGAATTCAGTTGGCTTTCGTTGTCCTAGCGGATCTGGGGGCTGCCTTTATTGCAGAATTACTAATTGCTGGTGTGTGTTGGGTCACTCTGTGACCATATGTAGCTAGCGACATGCCTTTGTAGTGTAACATTTACCGGGTGTTAGGAAAACATGAATCATTTATTATTGTGGTTCTTGTCTTTGAGACTGTCTTTAAACAGGAAGAAAATTGAAGACCTTTTCTATCAGCTGTCCTGGGTGTTCCATTTCGAGGAGTTTATCTTCAGACTCTGCTGGGTGTGGGTGGTCTTACTCAGTGTAGGATAGTGTGGGTGGTCTTAGTGCAGTGTAGTGCCATACTGGAGGCCACTTGACAGGCTGCCGGGCGGGTTAATGAGCCTGATGACCCTGAGCAGGGTTTGTGGGAGGGAACACTGCACAGCCACTCTGGCAGCCTCGGAAAAGAAGGACTGGCTGTTGCTCACACGTGGTTTGAGTAAAGGGCCAGAACTGTACAGAAGTGTTTCTACACATGATGGTCAGAGAAGACTAGGATAAATCGTACCATCAGGTTAGTGGTAGTGTGTACGTCATCATTCTCCATTTCTCAGGATATATTGTAAATAGTCTCATGTTTTACAGTTTAAAACAAGATAAGTATTTTTAGTGTCCTGCTTTCAGATGCAATTTCTGTAGGTTTTCATGAAACATATTGCTGTTACTAAATTATTAAACTGAGAATTTTGGGCTGTGGAGATAGCTTGGCAGTCTAAGCGCCTACTTGGCAAGTGAAAGAACCCAGGTTTGATCGCCAGCACTGCATGGGATGCCAGCCCAGGAACCCCAGGTGCATGCCTGTAAGCCCAGTGCTGGGGAGGCTGAGACACTACGAGTCCAGGCTGCGTAGCAAGACCCTGTACCAATTAATTAAATTTTTTTTTTACAAAAACTAAGAATTTTGTGTGTTAAAAATTGATCTAGGTGGGCCAGGGAGATAGCTCAGTAGAATAAGCACTTGCCTAGCAAGCACAATCCCCAGTACCTAAAAAAAAAAATTTGATCTAGGGCTAGGGATACAGTTCAGTGGCACAGGGCCTGCCTGGCAAGTGCAAGGTCCTGGGTTTGATTTCTGGTACCAAAAAAGTTTGATCTAATACTTTGGCATAAAAAAACCCCCACTCTGTTCATGTCAAGTGCCTCTGTTTTCCTCCATTCACTAGATATATCCAATGGCTGTAGTGGCAACCGCAGAGAGGGGCCTGATTGTCTACCAGCTGGAAAACCAGCCTTCTGAGTTCCGGAGGATTGAGTCTCCACTGAAGCACCAGGTGAGTTGGAGCCCACCAGAAGCGTGTCGCCAGCAGCTGCTGCGTGCCTGGGGTGCTCTCTCAGGGCTGTTCTTGTGCCCACTGGGAAGGCCAGCTCTCAGAGCGGGGCATTTAAGAGGAGAAACAGCACTTGGTGAGGAGATGCTGCCGCCTGTGCTTGAGCCCCTCACCTGTCTGCCAGACATTCCCAGGGTGGCCAGGTGCTGCTGAAAACATCACGCATCTGGATGAATTGGTTGCTTTGTAAATTTGTCACTTCCAGCTTTAATTCTGCCTTCGTCGCAGGAGCTTGTCTGTGAGGTTTTCTCTTCATTTCAGTCTTGCACCTGCCACAGGGCTGCTGGGGCCTTTCTCATCTTCTTTGGCCTTGGTCTCAGCAACTCATGTCAGCTCCTGCTCAGAACAAAGCTGGCTGTCGGCTCTCTGCTTGCCTCCTCCTGGCAGGTCGTTTTCCTTGCAGGAAGCTGACCTCCTAGAGCCGAGGCCTGCGGTGCAGGCTCAGCAGCCCTACAGCTCCTTTGCATTTCTCAGCGAGGCCTGAGCCAGCAGGACTGCTTACCGGACTTGGCTGTCTTTGCTAGTGTTACCCATGCTTTTGCTGCTGTGTCCTGGAAATGAGTTCGGAGAGCAGTGTCCTGGAGTGCTGGCCTTGGGCAGTGGGCAGGGGTGGGGACAGACTCCAAACATTTTCCAGGTGGAAGTGAGGGAGCCCCATGACAGTAGCTCCTATGTCTCCAGTGTCCACACCAAGTGGACACAGGTAGGTCCCATTTAA